GATTACCTCGTTAGTTCGATTCGATTCCGATTTTATTGAACAACAGCGATTTTAAGTAATTACATATTGATGTATTTGTAAGTTCATGACACACACCTAAAACGCCACAAATTATGATCCATACTATGTAATAAGGTATCTATCTTTGTATGTTTGTAGTAAGTTATGTTCTACTTGATTCAAGAATTCTTCTTAATATAAATTTAGAAGTGCACACTCGACAAAACACATAATCAAGAGAACAAAAGACGAGAAAAATTGTTAATGAATAGAAAAAAGCAAGCTTTCACATTAAATTTCAATTTGGCAAGGTTTTGCAGATGAAAGGGATTATCTAAAAGAGATTATCGATATGGTTCTGAATGCATTGGAATCGTGGCCAGAAGTTTGTGGTTTCCAGCTTACCGAGTTTCCAATAAAGCTAATGAAGTGGAAAGAATCGAGATCGACCGGCCAATATTGATTTAAAAAGTGAACGTTAAGTTTATACCCGATTGCCACAAACATGTGTGAGTGGTTTTTAGGTCAGATTTACTTTAGTAAAAGGTTTATTATGTTTACATATGCATGCAAAGGAAACTATGCTTATTTGCAGCTCACTGTGAGCTAACTAGTAGAGTTTTTCTCAGTATATTCACGTGAGTAACCCGCGATTTTAGTTAATGCTAAGGATATTCGAAACATTATCGACAAGGTTTTTGAGCGTACATGATGTACAATACTAGGGATTTGCGATATAAAAAATTACAAGTTTGTACGAAAAAATAATTTAATAAAACATTATATTCATCATAATTCGTCCTTTTTGTTAATTGATTCACTAATAATTCCGTTGACGGCCATTGCTTCCCATTTATCAATGAATTGATCCCAGAATTCGTATCGTTTCTTATTCAGATCTTGTTTGATTTTCATGTGTTTGTCTATATGTAGATATTCCTTCTTGTCTGTAGTATATGCAGGCCATTTAAGTCCTAGTTCTTCATCGTTGTCTGGTGTTGGGTTCCTAGAAAGTAATTGTGAAAGGCGAGTAAACATTTATGTCATGACTAGGTTTTGCCAGCGGCTTTCCGTGGGATAAAAGTAGCTTATATGTTATTTCAGACCATAATCTTCCTCTGTTCTAAATTTCATCTTGATCCCTTCAGCCGTTATTGCGTGAAAGGGTAACAAACACACACGCACACACACACACACACATATAGACAATACATCGTCACAAACTTTCACATTTATAATATTAGTAGGATGAGAATGATAAAATAGTTAAATGACAAATAAAAAGATTTGTTTGACGTTTACATGTAGAAACATATGACACAATTTTAGATATCGTTCTACAACATAGAATATCATATCGTTAGCAGGTACCTACTACTAATATGTGCCATTAATTTAACATACTATGCCCTACCTGGTAACTGAACGCAAAACCAAAAACAAGAAACATTCTTAATTTTTGTCATCACTTTTAGAGATTTACAACTTTGTTTATATTATAAACAGTAACAAGATTTGGCGCAAAACTTTGTTATTAAAACTTACCCATATTTAGCAAAATTCGTCCACATTTTTATCATTTTCCTTTGAATAACTTTTTCTTCGGGCACATTTTTCTCAAGTTTTAAATATTCATCTGTTAGAGCGGGGCACTTGAACAGATAACACATTTCATCCCCAGCAGCAGTTCCCCACGTTCCTTCCTGCACATTGGAATACTTCATCAAATTATTTTTATTCTCGTTCAAATTACTGATGTAATCAAAATAGTAATAGTACACTGGTTTCTCTGATCTTTCAGAATATAGTTTAGCTGTATAATCCACTACATAATTGACTGATGCATCCCCCATATATGTGAGTAGATCTGGCACACTCTTCAGATTAATTTCACCGTTCTTAAAGTAAAAATCTTTTATGTCTTTCGTTGCATCATCATACACGTCTTTCAATGGATCAAATTGGAATCTCAACCTTCTTGGTAAGAGAAGAGGGAAGTCTTTCCTAAGAAAAGTAATGTATCTTGGTTCTATCAGATATTGCATCATAGGCTCTAGTGCTTCTCTGGAATTAGAACCAATCATGATTGGCATTTCAATAATTTCCATATAATCTTCCGGGTATTCCTTAATTAAGCCCTTTGGATGTTTTTCTACTATTGGACTGAATGCAACTACACTCTTCTGTGTCTGTTTAAAGTAATCATCAGGACTTGCATGCACATCTTTTGTAAGTAAATCTTTAGCTGGTATATCTTGGAGCTCCTTCAGTAATTTAACTTCGTCAGTCGAAGTTCTTTCTATTAGTTCTCCAAGTTTGAATGCTCTATCTCTAACTTCTTCTTGTAAATATGCTGAAGACCAGGATGAACCACTATGCAGTATGGCTGCTTGGAAAAGATATTTTGCGTTTGAGTGTATAAGTAAATCAATAGCAGCTGCACCTCCTTCCAGTCCCATGAGGGTGACTCTTTGCGGGTCTCCACCAAACTGGTTAATATTGTCTCTCACCCATTCTAAAACTTCAACGATGTCTTTTAGACCAGCGTTACCTGGCACCATATCATTTTCTAGCGACAAAAATCCAAATGCTGATAACCGATGACTTAAAGTTACAACAATAATGTCTTCTTCAATGAAAAAGTCTGGAGCATAATCCTTAGATTTGTTGTAAGAATTTTGGAAATGTTCGTTGTATATGAATACGATTACTGGCCTTGATTCTTCATCTATAGCTGGCGTGAATACATCGAGGTATAAGCAGTCTTCGTCTCCGTACCAACCTAAGTCCTGTCCTTTTTTGATGTCATTGTTGAATTGTATGCAGGCAGGTTTCTCTCGTGTTGCTTTCAACGTTTCATCCCAAGGGTCGATGGGTTGAGGTGCCTGGAAAATTTATGATATGGTATTGTATAATTTCTTTGACAGAATCTTTTTATGGTGAGTGGTTTATTGTGAAACGACCCGCTTATTATTCGACTTATATCAGAGTCTCACTTTTAATGGACTTGAGTTTGATTTGGAATGTGACTTGCGTAGATTTTATTCCTATTTTCATTTATTATTATTGTTGTCATTTCGAGAGTAATTTGCAATATATACCTCTATTTTGAAAAACGAATGTAACACTTTCTGTAGCATGTTAAATTTACCTACATAAATGAAAATCATTCAACTTTTATTTAAGAGATAACATGTTATCCAGGTGACCTACTTTCAAATTTAATCTGAATCCGTTCAATAGTTTTAGCGGTAGCGAGTTACAAACTTCCAAATATCATCCATCAACTCTAACAAACTATTGAACCAATTGTATTAAAACTAACTTACCATGAATCGCAATTCACCAACAGGTGGCGCTGCATATGGTATTCCCATAAATCCAAAATATTCCACATTTTTAATCAGCGTTTTTAAAACCTTTCCAGAAATAGGTCCATAATTTGTTTCAACAACAGGAGTTTCATGACACTGAATCAAATTAAATATTAATAAAAAATAAATAAAATCAAGGAATGTTTTTAAAAACATTTTGTTGAGTATATCATTACGGCTTGTACATGTGAAATGATCGATTGCAATGTTACACCTGTGATATCGAGTTATCGGACCACGTATTTATCTTTATGATGGGATTAAATAACGCCTATAATGTGGTAACTGTTGAATAACAGCTAATAGATATATTTTGTAATGCAGATGAAATAAAATAAACGTATTTTACATCGGTAACTCTATTGGAGGTTGAGATACGTATTCTATTAATATCTGCCGATAAAACAAATCAGTTGGGATATTCTCTAAGATGTTAATTCGAACTCCCGAAGTCAGTTCGATCACATTCTTGCCCGTCATTGGTCGGGATTATTCTAAGAACTAACATCCAATAAAATGGTGGACCGCGATCGAGTTCAATTCGACCTAATGAACTTGTAAAATAAAATAGCCTAGCGGTTCAGAGCCAATTACGATTATCTTATCAGTACAATAACCAACATGTCTATTAGAAAGTTAAGATCAAATAAAAGACTAATCTATTTGGTTAATTAATGTGACCTTTTTTGTGGCGGGAAAATCGTCCAGTGACTTCTCCCGCCTTGGGTACATGTATGCACTTAATATGGTAACCTTCAAACGATTATTCCATAAAATGTACTGAATGAGACTTGGCGTGCCAATGTTTAACAGTTTTAAATATTATGAAAACATTTTTACGGATTTTAGTAATGTTTATAATGACGTGTCTTTTGAACTCACGACCATTTTATCCAGTACTACTATTTACTACTATTAGTACTACATGGTCATTCAAACCGAATTTTCTATATTTTCTATCGAAATTATTATGAGTCTTTATAAAATTTTCTTTTTTTTATCTTTCTACATAGTTTTTAGTGTTTCTAACAGTGATAGTGTCTTTGTCATTGAAACGAATGGAACGAAAATTATTGGGAGAAAGTTGATTTCGGTTTTTGATAACAAACCTTTTGTAGCATTTTGGAAAATTCCTTATGCTGCTCCTCCACTTGGAAAATTACGATTTAAGGTAAGTTCTAAGATAAGTAAGATATCGTATTTTGAAAATAATAATTCACTACAGATTTTTAATAAGGTTTAAAGTTACAAGGTCAAGTTTATTATTTTTTTATAATGAATTTTAAGTAAATGATAACGATATAGACACGATTAAACAAAACCATATGTTTTTGATTTCAGCCTCCAAATCCAATTCGTTGGTTCAATAAACCAGTCTACAACTACAGCGTGCCGTATAACGAGACTTGTGCCTTGGGTTTCACAGAAGATTGTCTATACTTATCCATCTACACACCAATAAATAAACATACATTTCTTTTGCCCATTATTGTATGGATCCATGACTATGCCTATACACATGGCCCCGACTTTTTAATAGACGAAAATGTCATTGTAGTAACCGTTTCGTTCCGGACGACAATTTTTGGTTTCCTCAACACTGGAGACAATTTCGCTAGCGGCAACATGGGAGCCAAAGATATCCTTACTTCTCTGAGGTGGATTAGAGACAATATAGGCTACTTCAATGGTGATATAAATAAGGTCACGGTATTTGGCTCTGGGTCTACCGCCCCTATAGTAGCTTCCTTGCTGTTATCTGCAGCTGGAGAAGATTTATTCAGTAGAGTGATCATCCAAGACGGCAGTGCTTTATCTCCAGCCGACTACAGAAGTTACAACTTCGAGATTATGAATAAATTATACTGGAATCTAAACGGACCATTCGAAAAATTCAATAGAACCAAGTTGTACGAATTGCTCTCAAAGAGCTCAGTGAAGCAGTTGTTTGTGGCCAGCTACGATCTGTTCGATAGCACCGAAGTTCGAGATAATCAGAGGCTTATCAATTCATTTTCCCCAACTGTCGAAGTATCAGGAAAAGGCGCTTTCATGAACAAATTCCCCTCCGAAGTATACAAGCGAAAGATTACCAATAATGCGGTGGAAGTTATGATAGGATACACCAACTTAGATTCTCTCCACAAACTCGATGGTTTTGTGAGAAACAAGAAACTCTTGAAGTATTTAAATTATAACTTTCAGTATTTATTACCTTTCGAAGGGAGGAGAGACGAATACGGATCGAAGCTGTACAGAAAGATACGAAGGAATATAATGGATTTCTATTTTGTTAATGGGACTGTCGGAGAGAGGAGCTTGAGGAGGTACGCGAAGTATGTGTCGGACCAAGTGATTTATCCGATACTTCGGCAGGCGAGCTTGCACAGCCAAGTGTCGTGTAATAATGTTTACCTGTACCGCTTCACTCATCGCGGGCCGTTCAACATCGTGTGGAACACGTACCTGCGCAATTTGAACTTGAACGGAGCCACTTCGGGCGACGAAATCTGTTACCAATTTAAATGTAAATCTTTGAGGACTGCCTACAATACAGTGGAGGCTTCAAATGAAAGGCTCTTCATTAAGAAGATTGCGAGATTATTGGCAAATTTTGCTAAACACGGGTAAGGTTAATTCTGATTAAATATTTGCTCTTTTACTTTTGATAATGAATTTTAATTTAACTGGTTAAGGTTTAAATTTAATGCGGAATTATTTTCTAATTGTTTTGTCGGTTAGTGGTAAGCCCGCTTTGATGGTATTAAAAGATTTTTAAGTTAATTCTTACCGCAGCGTTTAGGTGAAACTTTTCCTTTGGTATTTTGAAATTAAAATAAGTTGGAACAAGTTTATGAATATATTTATTTACTTTCGTTAACTCTTCGAGAATTAGCGGCATTATGCGGTTAAGGGACTATTGATACTGATGACCTTAGGACTAACTGAATTGTTTTTCACAGCCATAGTCAGAGCTATAAAACTATAGTCACTTTATTTTTGAACCCTTCAACTGAACACAATCCAGTATTAATTATTTTAAAAGGAGGTTTAAAATCACATAAATAAAATTTTTACACCATAAAATCACCATATCTTTTCATTTACAGAAATCCAACTCCACATTCTGCAGATCCCGTTCTGGAAGACTTACATTGGTTATCTTTGGACCCAACTAAAAGTATGAGGGTCCTAAACATTGGCTCCACGCTGAAGATGATCAAACTGCCTGAAGAGGAAAGAATGTTGTTCTGGGATCGACTAAGAAACGATTTTTTTCCTAGTAAAGAAAGAAATGATGAATTATAAGTACATAATATTAGGTATTTTTGTTGTTTTTTAATGTATGTGTTTGTATATATACCTGTAAGCAGTATCATCTTTACCATTCGGGGCCCGTGCCCAGAGCCCCCATCTTGAAAGGGGCCACGAAGGACAGAAAAGGACAGAAAACGAAGGACATACACTTGCTACGCGTTGCTCGGCAATCGGCTGCCACATAACGTATAAGGGGTTCGATTCCCACACGGAACAAATCTTTGTGTGATCCATAGATTGTTGTTCCGGGTCCGGGTGTCATGTGTATGTGAACGTGAGTGGAGCAACGTTTAAAAAAGAAGCTTACCAAAAGGGTTTTTTTATGGCATAAGCTGGTAAACGAGCAGACGGATCACCTGATGGTAAGCAATCGGCGTCGCCCATGGACACTTGGAACACCAGAGGCGTTACAAGTGCGTTACTGGCCTTTTGGGGATTGGGGTTTGAGGATCGTTGGGGATTCAGGAATTGAGGAGATCGGGGAAGGGGAGGGTAATTGGGCCTCCGGTAACCTCACTCACACGACGAAACACAACGCATTCCGGTCGAGCCGGCCCATTAGTGCCGAAGCATGGCTCTCCCTGGTCCTGAATTTTTGTGTATCCGACGGCCCAAGCGTAGTTTATGATGGCCCTTCCTGTAAGTACCTTATGTGTCTAAGTTTTTTAGTTGACTTTTAATGCTAAAGGTCTTAGCCGGAGACCTGTGAGAAGAGTACGTGTGATCATAAGTGGCCACAATTTCGTCACGCAGAATGTATCTCAATACTTATTATTATTATTTTTTTTTATAAAACGTTGCCCCACTCTAGGAATCTCCTACGTCGTGGGTACAAACATAAAAGATCATAATATACACATGACACTCAGACCCGAAACAACAATTTGTGGATCACACAAAGAGTTGTTCCGTGCGTTACACGTTGTGATGCCACTAGTTTTTAATCTACTGATGTGGTATTTTAACTAGCCGAGAACTGAACTTATACAGTTTTATAGACACATCGAGTTTTACAGTAAGAACTTAATTAAACCAGAGTGCTCACAAATGATTTTGTCCGAGTACTGTTCTGTGCAACAGTGTTTCATTTTAATTTACTTTAAAAATGTCCAAGAATAATTTTGTTTTTTGTTTATCTATCTATCTATAAAATCTAATATATAAAATTCTCGTGTCACAGTTTTCGTTGCCATACTCCTCCGAAACGGCTTGACCGATTTTGATGAAATTTTATGTGCTTATCCGGTATCTATGAGACTCGGCCAACATCTATTTTTCATCCCGCTAAATGTTAGGGGTTGTCCACCCCTAAATTTTATTTACTTTTAGTAAAAATGTTTAATTTCTATTTTTTATAATACAACATACAAAAATACATACAATTATCAATTTTCACCCTTCCACGAAATTATTTATATGGCAAAACAACGTTTGCCGGGTCAGCTAGTATACAGTTAAATAAAATTAGAGTGTCTGTTTGTAATATTGAAATAACCGCTTTTTACTACATGCATGTGAATATACATACGATACACATAACAAAATAACATTTGTTACAATTTTTGTCTGCCTGTCTGCCTGTTTGTACTGGCTAATCTCTGGAACGGCTGGACCGATTTTGCAAGACTTTTATTGGGAGGTAGCTAATGTACTAAGGTGTAACGTAGGTTTTATTTAGGAAGAATGAAACAAAATCAAGTTCTGTTCTAAAATTCATATTCTGCGACGAAGTTGCGGGCAACAACTAGTCTTTAATAAGCTGGAATTACTTAGAACTGAGTAGAAGTGCTTTTTGAAAAATCTAAGCCTACTAAACTGAATCTTCAACCGACCTGCTTGAAGAAAACGTGCTCCATCGTAGAGCGTGCATCATCGCATACGACCAGGCGAGATAGAGGTCAAACGTCGGCCCATCAAATATGAAGGACATAACATTACATCATGCCTTTTATCCACGAAGGGGTAGGCAGAGGTGCACACAGAAGTAACACCCACTTTTCACTATTTATGTTATGAATCCCATGTAATATGGGGTGAGCCTATTGCCATATACTCCACACACATTTCCAGACTCCAATATGAAGTCAATATGAAGGAATTTCAGGAAAGAACGTGCCTAGCTTAGAGATTATGTCAAACTCTTCTTATGTAGAGAAGGCCCATAGCCCAGTGATATTTTGTCGAGTCCCAGTGTCCTGTAGGCTTTTGATTATCATGATGACGAGGAACTGCCTGGTCATATATATAACTTACAAGTGCAAGGTATCCATGAATCTGACACAAGTATTATTGATTGGCTTACATTTTATTTTATGTCGTGGTGGCCCGGAGGTTCAATACGCCTGCGTGTCATGCATGAGGGTGTGAGTTTGAAACTTACCAACCAAGTAGCAATGTGACTTTTTCCGAGTTACTTTCTAAGATTATCTAGACTCCACTGACAAACGGTGAAAGAAAACATCGTGGGGAAACCTGTAAGTCTGAAATCGCAAACCCGCATTGAGCAAGCGTGGTAAATAATGCTCAAACCTTCTACGTGTGAGAAGAGGCTTTTGGTCAGCTGTGGCCACTTATGGGCTGTGATGATTGATTGATGATTACATTTTAAAACGCTTATTAGTATTTTGTACTTTATTATTTCTTGTGCCTAGATTATGTCAATAGGGTTAAATGCTACACAGATGGATTTTAAAAAGTGTCGGTGAAAAATTGTTTGAAAAATGTTGCATTCACTTTTGTTTTCAATTGTACATGAAGTGGGTCAGCCAACTGCATGTGTGTGCGATATCTGATATTGCTATAAATGTGTTCGCTTCCTTTCCACTGAAAAGCTGTTTTAATGTTTTCTGAAATTCAGTTTTCCTTTGTCACACTGTTTAATATCATAAAGGAAAAAGTACTTTTGTTTGAAAATATATTCAATTAAAAATGTTGCATTTTATTATTCTTTGTTTAAGTGAAGTTTTCGGGGAAACAAAGTTAGCTTATTCAGTGATAAAAGTTTATCTTCGGCACGACTGGGCCGGCTCGACCGGAGTGATACCATGGCCACACAGAAAACCGACGTGAAACAACACTTGCGTTGTGTTTCGTCGTGTGAATGAGATTACCGGAGGCCTAATCCCCGAATCGCCAACAACGCCTTATATTACTAATCCCCAAAAGGCCGGTAACGCACTTGTAACACCGCTGGTATTTTGGATGTCCATGGGCGACGCCGATTTCTTACCATCAGGTGATCCATCTGCTCGTTTATCATAAAAAAGGCAATGGTTCGGATTTTTATTTAATCCTCCAATCCAAAATGGAACTAAAATGACCTTAGACATGCACAAAGCTGAACTACCTCAAAATTCGGTGGTTTCCAACATGTGAGACTGCTGATAATTTTTGGGTCTCAGATTTTTTTTTTAAATTACTGTCTTGTATGTGACAGCTGGACATCTGTTATGTTTTGGACGCTTTTACAAATACATACCTACACATCACTCCTAGTCCCGGAGCAACCAACCAACTTTCAAAAAGGCTTTACTCGGTTCATGAAATATATTGAGATCGTCCAATAAGTGACTATTGAACTACGGTATACTTTGAGCATCATTGTCCCACAAAGGTTCGCCTCCACAAATAATAAAGTAAGCGGGAACAGAGAAAAATATCGAGTCACCGCATCAGATAAATCATATTATCATTACACCACAGACTACAAAGAGGAACAGGAGTGCGGTGGAGATGACAAAAGTTTATTTTTTCTCTTGCAAGTTTGTGTTGTAAGACATAATAATATTTGCGGAGTTATTTTGCGACTTTTCGAGTCTTAGGTTCGGTTCTTGTGTTCGATATAGTGTAAGTTTTATTTTTATTATAACATCTCAAAGTTTCAAATTAAATGCCTCGTTAGCCGAGTGGTCGAAAGTGCGACTGCCGGCCAAGGGGTCTCGGGTTCGATTCCCGGATCGGGCAATGTATTACACGGTTTATAAAAACATCTCTGTAGTAGCACGGAGTTTGGAATTGTGCCCGGTATATGGCAATAGGTTCACCCCCCTATTACATGGGATTCATAACATAAATAGTGTAAAAGGTGTTACATTGTACAGTGCCACTGTACAATGTAACGCTTAAGCGCTGTAATGTGTACCTCTGCCTAAAACCTTCAGGGATAAAAGACGTGATAGTATGTTATGTTAATTTCAAATCGATTGTGGTTTGTTTTTTTTAAACAAATGTCATTCAATTTTAGGAAAACCTGCCTATTTAGAATTAATGTATAAAGACGAATCTAACAAAGCAAATATCAACCAAAAATGTCA